AAAATTTTTAAAAAACGACGACAACTGACTTCAACTAAACGCTAAAATTAGTGCAATTTCTTCAAATAAATCTATTGATTTGAATTTCATATTACAACAATCTCATAAACTCATCATGAATCGCTCTCATATACATAATTTTGAAAGTATATCGAATAAAACAGAAGTGAAACAAATTTCAAAATCATTAAAAACACACACTCAACAATCTCTTAATCACCTGGTTGTAAATCGTTCCAGAGGTCCGGACGAATTGGATCTGGATCGATGACTTGTTATTTCCTGTTGTTGTGGTGAATCGAATCGCTCGGCTGACGATCTATTCGACATGTGCAAATCCAATGACGATTTGGATTGGCCGAGAGCCGACGAATGTACCAAAGCCGTCCCACTGTTTGAAACGCTCAACTTGTGTCGTGACAACAGATTGCCACCACCACATCGACCTTCAGTGGCGCTAAATAAACGATCCAAATGATCTGCCGATGAGACTGTGTTCGTTTTACGCATATCTAAAATTGAGATCATCAATACTCTACGCACTCACAAATAAACTATAATACAATAGTAATGCTATTCAACATTTTAAGCATACATACATAAAAATAAGTTAAAATTTCTAAAAGTAATGCAATTTCTTGAGATTTATCTACTGATTCTCATTTGATTTTCATAGTTCATCAACTCATCATGAGCTGCTTTCAGATGCTCATATAACTGTAAAGGCATATCGGACACAACAGAACAGAACAGAAGAGAAATAATTTTCCAGACAAACACTAAAACAAATCGAGATATTTCAAGCAAATGATCTTATTTAGCACATTTGCTGTGGCTATGGCAAAAACAACTCATTGTATGGCTTCTTTTTAAACTTTTCAACAGCAACAAAAATGCAAATCAATTCCACTCACTGGCCAATCTGGAGTGCTCTGCGACTATCTGCGAGTCCATTGAAGAGCTCTTACGGTGAACCACATCCGGATGAATCACTCCATTACAATAATCCGAATACGTGTACGGTGGTGGAGGAGGCATACTGGTGTTGGTGTTGGCGTTGTTGTTGTTGATGTTGTTATTACTACCAGCAGTAGACGGCACTCGGGAATGATGCGGATCCATCTGCACCGGAATCTCTGCACTTTTCGGGAAACCGTTCGGAATCGCGTACGGCTGATAGCCAATCAAACACTGCTGAGCGCTTAAAGGCCTGAAAATTTCCACCAGTCCAGTTTCGGTGGCCACATCCATGTAAATTTGAAAGAACCAAAAAAATTCAGGTAGAATTCGTCGATAAGCATTTGGGAGTTCGATGAGATTTCAGTTCAAATAAGCACTTGCTGCCAAATAGAATCACGAACTTAAGCCGATGGAAATCTCGATGAGCCATACTGGTCATCTCAAGCCATTTACGTGTTTCATCAATTGACGGTGTGAAGAAATAGTAGAGTGCCGTTGGAACACCAAAATCATTCATGGGTGAGACGGCAAAACCGGCTGAAACAAACGAAAAATCTTACTCACTTAGAATGACTCAAAACTTTAAAACCCCAGCAATCTCAATGTGCAACTGAAAACTTTCGATAAGTCTACTGAAACTGTTCACATCACAAATAAATAATTGATTCAACAATTTCACTTGTAAATTTCTTCCCATTTGCCATTCGCAAATCATAAAATTGTTATCAATCACATAACATATTCAAAAGATGCCGTAAAATTTAAACTCTTCCATACAAGATG